GGTCAGGTAACGTTGAATAGAGAGCTTATCATGATTACATCTACCAGTTAGTTGTAAAGTTTGGTTGTATGACTGGTACCACTTGACCAGTCGGTCATCCTGAGGACATGGACAGTTCAATGCTATTCCGTCCATCTTCAACACTTCTAGATTGTTTAACTTTGTTAGGGCCAGGGGAAAGGTAGCTAAACTAGAAGAATTCAAATACAACACTCGTAAATGTTTTAGGGGTTCAAAAGCCCGATCTGGAATAGTAGAAAACCAAGACCCTGCCAGATTTAGAACTTCCAAAAAAGATGAATTTGGAAAGCTGTTATCTGTAAGTCTCAGGTAATTATTTTTAGAAAGATCTAATTCTTTGAGTTGTAAGGGAATCCTATCTGCAGTAACTTTACCTATTAAGTTATCTGATAATTTCAGTTTCTCTAATTTAGACAGGCTTGAAATAACCTGGGGAACAAGATCAAAGAGGTTGCCATCAATGTCAAGAATCTGCAGTGTATTGTTGACTGGGCGCAGCGCATCGTTGAAATTTGTTTCATTTACAAAACCTGTTAATCCGAGATTCAAGTAGGTTAAATTTTCGACTTTGCTAAAAGCGTCAACAGAAATTGTCTCTAGGTAGTTTCCAGATAAATCGAGAGTGTTTACTAAAGTGAAACCTTGCAGCCATTCTGGCCAAGAAGTTAAACTTACATTCTGAAACACAACAGAACGCAATGTCTTCCCCAAGCTCTGTAAAACCTGCGGCTTCCAGTTTGTTATATTCATATCTGACAAGTTTATCTGGGTCAAACTGGTGACCTGGAGAAGAGCGTCAGGAAGCTCAGGGTACTTGACTTTGCTCATGGAGAAAGATTTCAGCGTGGTGGCCGAGCCATTGAAGACATCCGTTGAAATTGAAGTGATGCTCACGTTAGAGAAGGTTAAATTCTGCAGGTTGGCCGGCAGGCTGTTGCTGGATATGTTCAGTTTGCCAGACTGTAATGGACAATCATAATAATATAAGTTGGAGATGTGACACACACGCACACGCATACACACACACACACACACACACACACACACACACACACACACACACACACACACACAGAGAGATTTCGATTGATAATTTAATAATAACGTAAAGATTATTATTATCACTATTATTATTATTATTATTATTATTATTAACATAAAAAAAAATAAAAGTAGAATAAGAAGCAAACAAGGAAGAAGAAAAAGAAGAAGAAGAAGAATAAGAAGAAGAAGAAGAAGAAGAAGAAGGAGAAGAAGAAGAAGAAGAAGAAGAAAAAGAAGAAGAAGAAGAAGCAGAAGAGGAAGGAAGAAGAATGAAGAACAAGAAGCAAGAAAGAAGGTGGCTGGGGCTCATTAAGGGGGTGAGAGGCTTCTGGGGCTTAGGCCCCTAGATTCATCTGCTCCTACTTCCAAAGATTTACCAAACAACAAACAACCCAAACTAACTGTTTATGTTGTCAATGAAAATTTGGTTTGATATGTTATACAACTATGTGCCATCGAACATGTTGGAAAGTGTGCGACCAATGGTGTAGAATGCTGAACTGCCTTTGTGCGTTCTGAGACCCCTTTTTTCGAGAGGGAAACAAAAAAAGAATAGTGCCCCCAACAAGTAGGTCATACAAGACGACTAATTAGCTGTGTTTCCTTTAAAGCCGGAGTGCATCTTTCTGTGTACCAACAGTCTGCAGAAGCCAAATATGATTTGATTTGATTTAAGAACCGACATCATAGCACTCGGGGCGTTCCTATAAGAGCTCCTTCCCCATCTTCAGCAGCAAGCGAAGAGTTGCGATACTAATGGTGCCTGTAGCATTCTGGTTAAACGTCCTCTGAGCCTCGAGCATCTGCTAAAACCCCTCGTCACCCCCCCCCCCCTCCTTTTGCAACAATCTCACCAGACTGTGGTGATCCATCTGCTCCTCTGAACTGTACACGCTCTCCCACAAGGCATTAAGCACGTCTGCCTTATCATGCATCAGTATTGCACCAATTTGTGCAGAGCCGGCTAGTCTATCCACCTGTTCCTTTCCCAACACACCCGTGTTCCACGGTAAAAAAGTCCAGACAGTACCCCCCACCCGTGTCCTCCGCAGTGTGGCATACCACTGTGCACGAAGCATACCAAATTTGTGAAACAGATATGCAGGCAAAACAAGTTCTGGCAAAAAGCCCCCCCCCCCCCCCCCTACTTTTCCCTTGTGGTGTAAACAAATAAACCGACTGCTCACCCCCCCCCCCCCAAAAAAAAAAATGCATGTCGTAAGAGTCGTCTAACTGGGAGCTTCCTTTGAAGTTGGAGTGCATCAGCCCGAGCGGCAAGGAACAATCAGCCGCACACAGTTGCTAGTTAAACAGATGTACACACAAAACGCAGGTCCTGGCACAAAGCCTAAGTCCAAGTGGACGAACAACCAGGACTTTCTGCAGGACCTTTCAGTCAGTGAACAAAAAAAGAAGCAGAAGAAGAAACAGGACCACAGTCAAGAAGTGGACGAACAGCCAATACTTTCTACTAGAGTGTACAGCCGGTGATCGCGAAGAAAATGGAGAAGCAGAATAATTCTCAAAAGAAGCAACTTACTATGAAAGTTAAGTCTGTAATGTTGCCATCCTTGTTGTCTGAGACTAAAGTGGGGAGGCCGTCCAAGTTCCTGCAGACTAGTGACCGTCCAGTGCAGGTGCATGACTTGAAGGACAAGAAAACATGACATAATTGTATCATCATCGTCATCATTGTCACCATCATTATCAACGTCATTATCATAAGCATCAGCATCATCATTATCATCATCATCATCATCATCATCATCATCATCATCATCATCATCATCATCATCATCATCATCATCATCATTGCCCTGTTGTGCCTCTCTCTCTCTCTCTCTCTCTTTCTCTCTCTCTCATACACATCAACTTTCGTTTTAGAGATATCTTTATCATCCTCAATACATTAATTTCCTATTTGGGTCTTCTCTTTTGCAAATCCATTTTATGTGGCGCACATAACCTAGTCACAATTATAACCAAAAGCTTACCATTCGGGGATGCTGTCCATTATGACGATTTTTAATATATATATATGTCTGCGTGGATTTGGATCATGGTACGGGGTTTCGCAGGTACACCGAGCTTGAAATGGTTACCAGGATGGCTGTCTTGGGGAAGTAAAAACGGCCGGCATAATGCTGACCACATTACCCAGTTTGTGCCGACGGTCTGTAAAAATATTGGCCGCTCTTCCCATATACCCGATACGCTTAAAATTTGATCTGTACTTTTATGAAACATATATATAGGTGTGTGTGTGTGTGTGTGTGTGTAAATATACATTTAATGTTGCAGATTAAGCCAAGCCAAAAGCCATAAACAGCATCCCAAAGCTCAGGTACTGTGGCAATGTTAAGCCATATGGTGGCCTGAGAAAGCGGCGATAAACGTTGTAGTTTCCGGTCAATGATGCCGGGGCCGACCTCAACGAAAGTGGATACAAGATATTGAAGATGAATTGCACAGGGCTGGAGAATTGACTAGAGAAAGGACTTTCAGGCGTGCAGCGAAGAGAGCGACGTTCTGTAAAGGAGCTGATGATTGGTAATGGATAATAAATAATGTGAGACTTAAAACTGCCGCAGAATTAAGGGGTCTTGGCAGAAACAACCTCAGCATTTGTGTCGGTTCGTGATTTTACCACTCGATTTTACTCAGTTTTGCCATACCCTGCTCAACGGTCGGCTCTCGACGCCATTATCAAGACCAATGCAAAGCGGTCTGCTGGCAGATCGCCCGTATTTGGATTCGAAGCGAGTATCTCGGGATCGCAATCTACTTTCGCAATGGCTAAACAACTTCTTTATGAAGTCCTTCTCGCTTGGCGTTTGTAGTCATATCTATCCACAACTTTTGTCTTGTGTACTTTCACCCAGTTCTAAAAATCTTCATTGGCATGATGTTCAGTCAGTTGCCTTTCTGAGTCAGTGTTCCATGCCATAGACGCTAACAGTGTTCCATGCCATAGACGCTAACAGTGTTCCATGCCATAGACGCTAACAGTGTTCCATGCCATAGACGCTAACAGTGTTCCATGCCATAGACGCTAACAGTGTTCCATGCCATAGACGCTAACAGTGTTCCATGCCACAGACGCTAACAGTGTTCCATACCACAGACGCTAACAGTGTTTCATGCCACAGACGCTAACAGTGTTCCATGCCACAGACGCTAACAGTGTTTCATGCCACAGACGCTAACAGTGTTTCATGCCACAGACGCTAACAGTGTTTCATGCCACAGACGCTAACAGTGTTTCATGCCACAGACGCTAACAGTGTTCCATACCACAGACGCTAACAGTGTTTCATACCACAGACGCTAACAGTGTTTCATGCCACAGACGCTAACAGTGTTCCATGCCACAGACGCTAACAGTGTTCCATGCCACAGACGCTAACAGTGTTTCATGCCACAGACGCTAACAGTGTTCCATGCCATAGACGCTAACAGTGTTCCATGCCATAGACGCTAACAGTGTTCCATGCCACAGACGCTAACAGTGTTCCATGCCACAGACGCTAACAGTGTTCCATGCCACAGACGCTAACAGTGTTCCATGCCACAGACGCTAACAATGTTCTAATACATTATCCAAATTGAGTCTACAGTCGCGTACAAGAACAACTACTTGGCGAAAACCACACACTCACAACACAATATGACCTACCGTAACATTGTACGGACATACAGCGGCTGCAGGCGATAAAAGAACAGCCACAGACACTGAGCAGACCAGGATCCACACTGCAGAAGTCATCTTTTGAATTTACACCGGAAAAGTACTTTAAAGCGCTTGTAAAATAGAATGCGTTCGTCCCTTTGTGAGTCTGTACGCACTGAACAACTGCAACAGTACGTAAGGAAGTGTTACCAGCATTGCAGCCCTAATATAGTGTCGATTGAGCCAGTGCTGCGTCACACACTCCTACCTGTGCGGTCAGATGAAAGATTACGAAGCTCCGCCCACTTGCGTACTTTGGTACCAAAAATGTGACAGCGAGGGTTGTGATCTAGATCTGAAGCTGACAGAGTTAGACAAAGCAAACAGACAGAGTTATAGGCAAGCAGGCAGACAGACTGGATGACAGGAGGCCGATAGAAGTATTGGTACAGATACAAATATGGTTATGTAGACTGACAGACACACACACACGCATATATATATGTCTGTCTGTCTGTCTGTCTGTATATCCATCAACTATATATATATATAGTTGATGGATATACAGACAGACAGACAGACAGACAGATAGATAGATAGATAGATAGATAGATAGATAGATAGATAGATAGATAGATAGATAGATAGATAGATAGATAGATAGATAGATAGATAGATAGATAGATAGATAGATAGATAGATAGATAGATAGATAGATAGATAGATAGATAGACAGACAGACAGACCAGACAGACCAGACAGACAGACAGACAGACAGACAGACAGACAGACAGATAGATAGATAGATAGATAGATAGATAGATAGATAGATAGATAGATAGATAGATAGATAGATAGACAGACAGACAGACAGACAGACAGACAGACAGACAGACAGACAGACAGATAGATAGATAGATAGACAGACAGACAGACAGACAAACAGACAGACAGACAAACAGACAGACAGATAGATAGATAGATAGATAGATAGATAGATAGATAGATAGATAGATAGATAGATAGACAGAAAGACAGACAGACAGACAGACAGACAGACAGACAGATAGATAGATAGATAGATAGATAGATAGATAGATAGATAGATAGATAGATAGATAGATAGATAGATAGATAGATAGATAGATAGATAGATAGACAGATAGACAGACCAGACAGACAGACAGACAGACAGACAGACAGACAGACAGACAGACAGACAGACAGACAGACAGACAGACAGACAGACAGACAGACAGACAGACAGACAGACAGACAGACAGACAGACAGATAGATAGATAGATAGATAGATAGATAGATAGATAGATAGACAGATAGATAGATAGATAGATAGATAGATAGATAGATAGATAGATAGATAGATAGATAGATAGATAGATAGATAGATAGATAGATAGATAGATAGATAGATAGATTCACACGTGTATTTACAAAATACCTTAATATACCAATATAATCTGAAAGATCTTTTTTAAGACACTATAATAATTTCGGCACGGCCACGACAGGGCGTAGGCTCATTCCAAAATGCATTCTATGATTGTTGACATATTGTGTCATGTCGTTATCCCTGAAACGCGAAGTGGGTAATCGAATTCTTGAATTTCGGGCTGACAGTCTGGCGGTTAACCACTGAGATAATGTGGCCCCCTGTGACAATCTAAATTAGAGATGAAAACAAAGGAGGCAGTATTAAACTCCTAACATCAGAGAGCCCATCTTCACAACGACGGTTATTTATTCAATTTTAAAAACCAGCAGAAGTTGAACGCACCCTGAAGATGACAAGATGATAAACTTTTAAGGAAATGAATGCAGAGAAACGAAGAAAATCCAGAGTACAGGGAGGATGGGCAGGTGCAGGGAGCAAACGGAATAATGCTATCAAACCAAAACAATCAGTTTTGGCATCACATGCTTCAAGCCAAAGCCCTGTGACTGGAATAGTTGCACAAAGGCAAGTTCTGGCAAGTGCTCAGTCGCATACTGCCAAGTTGTCTGAGTCAAGTATTCCACAGTGGACTGGTAATAATACTGGCCAGAAATCATAGAATAGTCAACAGTTTGTATTTGAAGATCCAGAACAGGAAATACAAGTAAAACCAGCTGACCGGACTATAGTAAAATCTGGCACATACGATATAAGCACAGAACCATCTGGAGTTTCTAGGTTGAGGTATTTCCCTGACGCAGTGAAGCAATCTTTGCAGAATTACTAGATGAAATACCTTCGGAAGCAGAGATCAGAAGTTCATGGCGGGGTCAGAGCTGTTCAACCCAGGCTGACTGCCTGGTATAGCGAGCTTCCATACACATACGCTGGCATCACAGTGGAAGCTAATACATCTGAGTGGCCAAAATGCGTTGAAAACCCTAAAAGATCAGCTGGTGGAAGTAACTGGAATTGAGTTCAATTCTCTGGCTGCAAATTTATACCGAGACGGTCATGACAGTTTGGCTGGCACTCTGTCGATGAGCCAATCATGGGAAAGAACCCTTCAATTGCATCGCTGTCCTTCGGCGAAGAGAGAGTATTTGAGCTGCGGAAGAAGCCTCCACCTAATGAATCCGGGGAAAGAGACTACACCTATAGCCAAGTTATTAACATACCTCTAAGAAGTGGTTCACTGCTCATTGTGAGGCTGGACAGTCAAACTGGCAGCATCGTGTTCCCAAGGAGTACCATGACACAGGAGCCAGGATAAACGTTACATTCAGAGTGGCAACACCTTCCCACAAGTGATATACTTCATGCATCATGTGTTGATTGAATCCATTAAATAATTCAGCAATAAAAAAAAAAAACACAACAGCAACAACAACAAAGGAGGCAGTAACCCCCCCACCCCCCAACTTTCCACACACACACACACACACAAGTAATTATCGTCAGCTCTCTGTTGAATGAGCTTATTAAAAACATCAAAACAGCCACTTGAGGTAACTTTTCAAAAAAAAAAAAAACAACAACAAAAGGGCGATAGCAGCCAACCTCACCGACACTCTTGCGTTTGCGTCTGTCCTAACTTAGTATAACAATAAACTAGTACTTCGTGTCAAAGTGCACGCGTCATCAGGGAAGACATCATTTGTTTCCTGGCTAGAAATAACAAGACAGGGTTGGGGTAACAAATACTTCATGGGTGATGGGGGAAATGTGGGAAGTTGTTCACGTATGGCCCAGAACCTGAGCGCTCAGCCTTCTCACTCCCAATAATTTGCTTAGAAGACTGAGAGACTATTTACAGCTATGTATATACTTTTTGTTTTAAAGTAACTGATTATGCATTTCCTATTATTTGAAGTGTGTTATTACTGCATTTACTTGCCATTCAGCATAATAGTAATAATAATAATAATAATAATAATAATAATAATAATAATAAATCTAATAATTTACCTTAAATAATATGAAACATACAAACGCATATTTTAAAAGATAATTGCTATTGCTACTGAACATAAAATTTGCCTAGAAAAACCACAAGCAAAAAAAAAAAAAAAAAAAAAAATTTGGTTGGTTCTGCAACGTGCTAAAAAGGATATGCAATTATCTAAATAATTTCTATCGATGGTTAACTGGACCATCCTTGCCCTGTTTAAATTTTACTGGGTAGTAAATTACTGAGCGAAAAACGACACACATTAGAAAGACAAACAATAGTCGACATTAAAGAGACAGTAATTCAAATTAAAGATATGCGGAACGGAATAATTAAAAGGACAACTAACAAGGCAAATAAGAGGGGAAAAAAACATACTAAATTAGTGCGATAACTAACAAAGTAAATTAGAGAGATCAACAACAGGCTGAATTTGTAAGACACATAGCAGGCGAAGTTTGGTGGAAAACGGGTGAAATTAAGCAAACAATCAATAGTGAAGATATTAGAGATTCAAAGGGATAACATATTAAATTAGAGACACACATAGCAGATTAAATTCGAGATGCAGCACGCTAAATTCGAGAGATAAATATTAAAAAAAAAAAGCAATAAAAAATAAGACAAAAATAAGCTAAATTGGAGACACGTAAAGCAAGTTAAACTGTAGAAAAAGCAAGCTAGAATACAAAGACAGCAAGCTTAATTAGAAAGACAAAAAACAACCTAAATTAGATAGACAAGCTAAACTAGTGAGACAAGATGTCAAGTAGAGAAACAAACAAGATGTTAATTAGGGAAGCAACAAGCTAAATTGAAAAGGCATCTAGCTATATTATAGAAGCAACAAGCTAAATTACGGAGACAACAAACAGAGACATTAGATAGACGTCAAGTTGACTTAGAGAGACAGCAAACTAAATTAGAAAGACATCAGCTAAATTAGAGAGATAGCAAGCTAAATCAACAAGATATATTAGAGACAGGAGGCTTAATTAGACAGAAAACTTGCTAAATTAGAATGACACCAGCTGAATTAGAGAGACAACGGGCTAAATTAGAGAAAAAGCAAGCAAAATTAGAGAAGCGGCAAGCTAAATTAGAGAGACAAAAAAGACAGATTAGACAGACAACAAGATAACTTCGAGACAGAAAGCTACATTAGAGAGAAAACGAGCTAAATTATAGAGGTATTTATCAGGCTTGCTTGGTAAGACAATCAAGAGCCTAAAGAAATTTTATTTTCAAAAGGTTAAAAATTGGGCACGCAGTCCTGTCTAACATTCTTCTTTCCTAGTCTCCCTTATTTCATAGGTAAATTCGAGAGACAACCAAAAAACGTAAATGAGAAAGAGAGATAGAGAGAGAGAGAGAGAGAGAGAGAGAGAGAGAGAGAGAAAGAGAGAGAGAGAGAGAGAGAGAGAGAGCGAGAGAGAGGGCTAGTTTAGATAGACGAACAACAGTAACTGGTTTGATAAGGGTTAACAAGAAGAGCTAAAACAGCGAAGGAGTTGCGGTTCGACTACAATATGACACACACAAGTGCAAAGTGGTTCAGATAAGACTTGCTAGTGGAAATTCTGATTAGTCATCAAATACGTCAATACTGGGTTTCCATTTCGTCAACCTGGCTTTTAAATAGAATTGACCTAATCTGTGTCAGTCATAAACTAAGGTCATTTCAATGATAATATTTCCGCCCTTTTGAATGCTTGCACTTATAGATGTCGTAATTCCAGTAAGAATTCTTAGTGGCTTTTATATTCATCATCATTATCATTATCACCATCATCATCATCATCTTTACCACCACCAACATCATCACCATTAACATCATTATCCTTAACATCATTATTATCTACATCATTAAAATAACCATCATCATCACTATCATCATCACTACCATCATCATCATCACCATTATCATCAAAATCACCCTTATCATCACAACAACAACATCACTATCATCATCACTATCATCAACGTCACTATCATCATTATCATCAACATCACTATCATCATCACCATTGTCATCAATATCACCCTCATCATCACCATCATCAACATCACTATCATCATCACCATCATCAACATCACTATCATCATCACCACCATCCTGAAAATCACTTTCATCATCACCATCACCAACATCACTATCATCATCATCATCACCATCATCAACATCACTTTCATCATCACCATCATCATCACTATCATCATCGCCATCATCAACATCACTATCATCATCATCACCATCATCAACATCACTTTCATAATCACCATCATCAACATAACTTTCATCATTGCCATTATCAACATCACTTTCATCATCAGCATCATCAACATCACTTTCAAGATCACCACCGTCATCAACATTATTATGATCATCAGCATCATCACCATCATTAACATCACTATCATCATCAACATTGCTATCATCATCACCATCATCAACATCACTTTCATCATCACGATCATCAACATCACTTTCATCATCACTATCATCGGCCTACTATCATCATCATCATCATTAACAACATCACTATTATCATCACCATAATTACCATCACTATCATCATCATCACCATCATCACCATTACCAACAACATCACCATTCGCATCATCATTGTCATCGCCGTCATTATCATCATCCTGTTATTGTTGTTCTTTTTTCCTTGTTTTTCTTCTTTTCTTCTTCTTTTTCTTCTTCTTCTTCTTCTTCTTCTTCTTCTTCTTCTTCTTCTTCTTCTTCTTCTTCTTCTTCTTCTTCTTCTTCTTCTTCTTCTTTTTCTTCTTCTTCTTGTTTTGGCAGTGCACCTCACCACGTAATTTTATTTACTTGAGACGTCCAGTCTATCTCCGTAGAGCGGATGAACATTGCCAAAAGTGTCTTTGCACAAAACACAACGTTCTATTGCTCCAGCTACAAGAGTAAAGATTCTTCGAAATATTTGCAAACACGAAACAAAGGACAGAATCTAGACTCTTGCAGACCCAGGCAATACCTTGCGGAGAGAGAGAGAGGTGGGGGGGGGGGGGTTTTGAAAGGGAATTGAACCCGACTAGGACCGTCACATTGAGCAATTACCTCCCTCTCGTGACATAATGTGTCTGGCGTCACTATTCAGAAGAGACCGGGTACAAGACCCCGTTCAACCGGTTATACTGCCCCGCCCGTGTCACTGCCCCCGCCGATGGTAACAAAGTCACCCGAAGCCCAGAAAGGGTGGGCAATAGGGTGTGGTTGTCTCTCAGTTATCTTATGTGTGCAAGCTGTTGACAAGACTAATCCACACAGGCTTATCTCAGTCTGGGGGTAAATATTGCGACACATCAAGCTCAAGGGTGGTCTGGAGAGAACGGCGAAGGACGGTGCAATTTTCGTGACCTCTGCAAATGCAGATAGAGGACGTTGAAGATGCACAGGCTGTGAATGCACACAGAATTGGTTAAAGAAAGAGAGAACTTTAGTCGTGCTAGGATGAGAACATGTTGATTGATGATGATGATTATATATATATATATATATATATATATATATATATATATATATATATATATATATATATATATATATATATATATATATATATATATATATATATATATATATATATATATATATATATAGTGAAAGAGAGAAGAGAGAGAAAAGAAGAGAAGAGAGAGAAGAGAAGAGAGAAAAAGAAGAGAAGAAAGAGAGAAGAGAAGAAAAAGAGAAGAGAAAGAGAGAGAGAGAGAGAAGAGAAGAGAGAGAGAATAGAAGAGAGAGAAGAGAAAAGAAAAAGAAGAGACGAGAGAGAAGAGAAAAGAGAAGAAAAGAGAGAAGAGAAGAGAAAAGAAGAAAGAGAGAGAGAAAAGAGAAGAGTGAAAGCGAAAGAAGAGAAAGATACATATATTGTTTGATGAAATATGGGTGCGGACAAAATGTGTTGTTCAAACTAAATGGTCACAACGTTTCTCGATTAATACTAAGCTAATTTTTCTACAGCCCTCAAACACGTAGGGTAATATTATGTACAAGGTCCGACAATTAAATAATGAGACTAATTCCCAAAAAACTGAAATAATCAACAGTTGAAGATATAACCTGTATCTGATTCAAAGTAAACCTCTTGTGCATGGATACAGCAAGTGGCACGATCTAACAAACACTGGAACGACCTCTGTAGTTCTTCTGTTGTTGTGGCCCTCAAAGTCGATGTTACTGCCCTTTGGATGTCATCAGTATCGTTAAAGAAGCGTCCTTTTAATCGTAACTTTAATTTTGGGAATAGAAAATAATCACAAGAAGACAAATCTGGGAAATAGGGTGGAAGGCTGAGAAAACACACTTGTTTTAGGGCCAAAAATTCTTGTT